CTGTACTACTTAAGTAATTAAGTGACAGAGCAGACCGTTATAAAAATACCCCACTGTCCCCTCAGCTGTTTCCTATATTTGTCATGCTTACACTGTTTGCTTTTTATCCCTTCACCTTTCCAAATCACATCTGTCCTTTAAAGGTAAGCTGGGGTCGTGTGTAGCTCAGAGCCTTGTCCCTTTATTTTATTCCACATGAATAATTCCTTTTTTTCAGAATTATTTTCCTGTTTATTATTTGCACTACTCAGTTTTATCAGTTGATTTGTAAGTGCCTGGCGTTTTCTTTCTTTCCAGTTAAGTCCTTTCACACAGATATCACACTGACCCTTTTTATAGTGTGATATAGTAGGTATTCCATAAATATTTTTTGATACTGCTAATGACTTCTAGACTAATAACGTGCTCAAGCAGGTGAAATCAGGTGTTGAATGAGTTGTTATTAGTTGCTTTATCAAGAGATTAAGAGAAAATAAATTGAATTTATTAAAAGTATTGTGAATAAGAATCTGCATATTAAAAACAAACAAAACAAGAACAGCAATATCGAGTCTTTTTTACACAAATATATATAGAATATACCAGGAAGGGGCTTCCCTGGTGGCGCAGTGGTTAAGAATCTGCCTGCCAGTGCAGGGGACACAGGTTCGATCCCTGGTCCGGGAAGTTCCCACATGCTGTGGAGCACCTAACCCCGAGCGCCATAACTACTGAGCCTGCGCTCTAGAGCCCATGAGCCACAACTACTGAAGCCCACGTGCCTAGAGCCCGTGCTCCGCAACAACAGAAGCCACCACAGTGAGAAGCCCGGGCATCACAGCGAAGACCCAACACAACCAAAAATGAATAAATAAATTTTTTAAAAAATTAAAAAATATATATATATACCAGGAAAACAAAATTACCAGTTAAGACATAAAGTGTAAATATTATTTCAAACCTGGAAGCACTATGTTATATTTAAGGAACTTTAACTTTTGATAATCCAAACCATAGCTAAGGATAACTTTATTTAAATATGAATACTTATTTTAAATATAACAGCTTCCAGATTTCATGAGACGTTATAGAAATACCTTTTTTTTTTTTTTTTTTTTTTTTTGCGGTACGCGGGCCTCTCACTGTTGTGGCCTCTCCCGTTGCGGAGCACAGGTTCCAGACACGCAGGCTCAGCGGCCATGGCTCACGGGCCCAGCCGCTCCGCGGCATGTGGGATCCTCCCGGACCGGGGCACGAACCCATGTCCCCTGCCTCGGCAGGCTGACTCTCAACCACTGTGCCACCAGGGAAGCCCTAGAAATACCTTTTTATGTTTTCTAGAATCCAAATGGGGAGGAGTCTCAGGACACACATGAATTGCTAAGTGCAGTTTCACTGTGTCATTTTTAGACCACACAGATACTTGAATGAATTTATGACCCTTCCACATCTTTGCATGTTTCCTACAGAATTTACCTTTCCCCAGAACCTCTAGGAGTGTGGCTCTTTCGGGTCTCAGGTTTTCCATGACGATCTGCTTTTTCTGGGTATGCTTGGCTCCCCCTTTTCGTCTTAGAATCTCTACTTATAGGCACGGAAGGGCTTGTCTGTGTTCCGGGATGAAGATCGCCTTGCTTCCTTCTCAGTTATGCATCACTCTTGTTTTATAGCCACCCACAGTTAGCTGTAATTATTGATAGTCTGGGTTACGCTGGTGTTTTGCATTTTATCCTTTTACAGTTGTCCTAATGTACTGCTGCCTTTCCTGCGGCTGGTATTGACAGGTCAAGCTGGCAGATAAAATGCAGGCCCTCTGTGTCACTGATCCCCTTCTCCTTCCTTCCCTTCTCTACATTTGGTGGCATCCCTGCCACCAGAGCAGAGCTAAAGGGATCTAGGGAATAGCAGTCCAGGCTAAAGTGGTAATGGCACCTCAGATAATACATTTAGGTGGGCGTGAGTGAGCTATATTCGGGATTACAAAATTTAATTAATACAATTGTTTAAAGCTTTTATTGCATCTTTTATTTTTTCCAAAAGTCTCACTTGGAATTCAAAGGACACAGATAAATGCTGCCCCTAGTTGAAGGCTGGGGCAAGACCAAACAAATGTTTGGCCTCTTCTCGTTTCACTGGAGCCCCCGCCACCAGTGGCCACCCCCAGGTACCTCTAGTAACCCTAAGGAAAGCGGAGTAGAAGTGACTGACACAAACAGGTCCCATCTTGAGGCATAATCCTGGTGTCTTCAATTCTGTTCTACTCTGGGATGTCCAGCTCATCGTGACTGTTGCTGAGAAACTCCTTTCCTACCCTGTGCATGTTACTAAAACCACTCTTTCACCTAGTGTTTCCATCTTGGTAAATAGTTAGCTCCATTCATTCAGTTACACAGGCTGAAACCTGCAGTCATCCTTGTCTCTCTCCCACTCTCCGCTTCCAGTCCCTGAGCACATCATGTTGCTTTTCTGCCTTCAGAATATATCCCACCTTGCCACGCTGGTCAGCCTCTTTTTTGTTTTTCTCCTACAAACAAACTGCAGTAGCCAATTAGCAGTCTTCGTTTTTCACTCTCCACCCCCAGTCCCCCAGCACACACACCACAGTCTAGTACAGTGGTCAGTTACATGGGTTCTTCAACCAGACTGCCTGCATTCATACCTGGATCAGCTGTCATATGTCATTAAGAACATGAATTAACCTTTCTGGGCCTCAGTTTCCTTAACAGGTAAATGAGGAGGAGGAGGACGGTACTAGTTACCTCAAACAGTTGTGTCAGATAAGTTATTATACGTAAATTACTTAGAGTAGCGCTTGGCAAATAGTAAACGTCCAGTGAACATTAGGTAGTGGGTGACGTTGAGGTTATTGCACTTGTTATTTTTTATTCATACAGAATCTAAACTGACCACCTTCAGACATTAATCAGATGTGTCCTCCATCGGCCTCCTGTCACTTTTAGAGCAGTATGCAGAGTCCTCACCATGGCCTGCAGGACCCCCTCCGACCATCCTCTGTCCTCGCTCCTTTTCCTGCAGCTGTCCTGCTGCTGCCCTCCGCCTGCCACGCCACTGCTGCCTCCATGCCCGTGGGCCCTCTGCCGGACGTGCTCACCCCGCACACGGACACGCGACTTGCCACTCCCTTCCTTTCATCTCTGCTCAGTGTTAGATCCTCAGAGCGGTCAGAGTATCGTTCTGTCATTTTCTGTATCCTTCAACTTAACACATTATTGACTGGAGATGTATTAACGCCACAGACGTTAGTTTCTGCAGAAATCCCCCAGTCAATAATATGTTATCTTTTCATAAGATATGAAGAAAATCATCGCTACCTAACATCACATTATATATCTGTTTGTTGATTATTTACCCCACTATGCTGAGTTCCATAATAAATGAAAGCAAGAGACCTTGTTCATCATTTTAGCCCCAGGGCCTTGCATGTACATAGTAGGTGCTCAAGAGGTGTTTGTTAAATGGAGGGATGGGGTGGGGTGGGATGGGGTGGATGATCGAAGAAAGATTTTCCCATTTGTTCTTACACGAGAAATGCTGAGGTTACAAACCAGATAGTTGGAGGGAGGCCTGAGTAAATTTTCTCGAGATGAGAACTCCTTAGGGAAGAGTTCAGGTTGATTTTTCTTTTCTTTTCTTTTTTTTCCTTCTTTTTTGTTGATAAGAATGTATCAAGTAATTTACCATAATTGTCTCAATTAATCATATATGGATTAATTGCATTATTAAATTAGTACCTTTTTATAGTTACTGTTCAAGGTCTGCTACATATGCCTTTCCTTTGCAGCTAATGACAAGGAAATTGGGTTTATCTTTTATTGAGCATTATTAAATGCAAGAAACATGTCATTCTCCCTCTCATTACAACCTCAAGTCACAAGAAGAGGGATTTAAAGTCTGTCTAGAATTACGAAAAATAGAGACATAAGTAATCTTCACCAAAACTTCTTCTTCTGATAAAGAGCAGTAGGTCCAGGTGTCTATGAAAATGTGATTTTTTTTTTTTTAAGCATTCAGGTTTAAAATGCGTTCTAGTCCCTCAGAGATAGAACACAGTTATTTGTTCACTTAGGAATTTTAAAAATTAGCATTTGCTTAAATAATGATGTAATTTAATTAGTTTGATGACTTTATACTAATTCATTGACATTAATACTGATCCATTAACTTTAACACGTGGAGAAATTAGAGAAATAAAGAATTTCAAGAACAACTGGCAATCTTGAGCATCTTTGTTTTTGTTTTCTTCGTAATTCCTGAGATTTAAAAAAAATTACCCTTACTAATTTCACTTCATTATAATGTACTACATTTCTAGGACATTCAAGTTATTTGGTGCTTTTTATTTTGGGCCTCTCTTACGCCTTCATACTTAAACCCAACAGTCTTCTGAACTACATCTTGTTATAACCTGAGTGAAACAATGACTTTCTGATTTGAAGAGGGGTTCTCACATGCTAATTTGTCATTTAGCCTTTTTTAAAAAAATAACTGACATTAAATGAGTTAGTGTTTGGAGTTGATCTTCTAAATTGTGCCTATCCAAATTGGTACCACTCAGAGATGGTATCAGAGGATGTGTGTGACTGTCAGACGGTAACGCAGGTGTTCTGTGGCGAGCTCAGGGAGGGTGGCCATCTCCCATGGAGCAGGACAAAGCCCACCTGATCTTGATTATCAGCATGAGTGACGATCACAAAAGAGGGTCCTGCAGGCTTTCCGATCCTTCCACATCAGCTTTTCCCATCGCTGTGAGGCAGAATTCACCACACTTTGCATTGTTCACCAGCCTACCCTGTGTTTTTTCTTAATGTCTCCGTAGAAGATTTTTACCTCTTCTATCTACAAACATGATTTTTATTAGAGAAAGAATTTAAGCGTAAGTCAGAGTAGCCAAAAATCAGAGATCTTTGCTATAAGCTGTTTTCCCTTTTTATTCATACGTGGACTTTTTATTATTATTATTATTATTATTATTATTATTATTATTATTATTATTATTACAGGCCATGGTTGCTTGTTATCCAGGCAACGGAACGGGTTATGTACGTCATGTCGATAATCCAAATGGAGATGGAAGATGTGTGACATGTATATATTATCTTAATAAAGACTGGGATGCCAAGGTATGCCACCTCATTGAGCATTCTTTTTCTTCGTACAGGTATTTTTTCCTCACAAGTAGTGTTAAGATTCATACTCCTCATAGGTGAGACTGTCTTTAAAACATGGAACAGTTAAACATTTCTCCTTAGGTATGTTTCACTCAGGTATTAGGAGTGGATCTTTGTTAACATGAAACAGATCCTAATAGAGCTCAAAAAGTAGATTCCCTTATTTCGGATGTTGAAACATTCATATCCAAAATTTAACTTTAACAAAAGTATCTTTTATTAAAATAATATCCCTCCTAGTAGTTTTTATAAAAACACTTCTGAGAGTGTTTTATCATGACTTTTGCGGGAGATTATGTATTGTGATTATGAAGAGTTATTTGCTCTTTAGCGGCTGCATTTCATGCTTTGCATTGTTGCAGAGGTGTTGTCTGGCACTGGGCTATGGGATATTGGAGGCAGGATTTCTTTGTCCCCGGATTATGAAAAACTAGTTTATCGGTACTGAAAAATCCTGTGAAACCAGTTAGAATGTGCAGCGTATCCAGTTTCTCGTGTTGCAAATATTTATTCCCTTAACATCAGCCTGAGTTTCGCTAAGTTTAAATGATTTAAACTTTAGAAGTGTGTCATGTATTATTGCACTGGAGGTTGTATAAACTAATTTTTGGTTGATTTTTGTAAAAAATCTCTTTTTATTTACATGTACTGAAGCAAAATATTTAAATAGAAAAGTGAACATAATGTATAGCCCAGTGGATTTTCAGAGAGTGAACACACTTGTGTAGCCAAGGTAATTTTAAAAAAAATCAAATAACCTTTAAAACACCTTCTTCCACCACACGCATACACACATAAATGGAAATCACCAGGTCTTAAATGTGCAAAAACTTAGTCCTGTTCTAAAAGCAAATCCTAAAACTTAGAGTATGCTCACGGTGATCCAGTCATCTTTCCATATCATACACTGATTTAAAGAATTTCCTCTGTCTTTGATACTCTATGTAGAAAACCCTAAAGATTCCACACAGAAACTGTTAGAACTGATAAATGAATTCAGCAAGGTAGCAGGATACAAGATTAATATACAGAAATCTGTTGCATTTCTTTACACTAACAATGAAATATCAGAAAAAGAAAGTAAAAAAAATTCTGTTTAAAATCACATCATGAAAAGAATATATCTAGGAATAAATCTAACCAAGGAGGTGAAGGACTTATATGCTGAGGACCATAAGACACTGATAAAGGAAATCAAAGGTGATGCAAGGAAAAGGGAAGATATTCCATGCTTTTGGATTGAAAGAATTAATATTAACCCAAAGCAGTCTACAGATTTGATGAAATCCCCATCAGATTAGCCATGACATTTTTCACATAACTAGAACAGATCATCCTAAAATTCATATAGGATCACAAAAAAACCAGAATTGCCAAAGTGATCCTGAGGAAAAAGAACAAAGCTGGAGGCACAGCACTCCCAGACTTCAGACTATACTCCAAAGCTACAGTAATCAAAAGAGCGTGGTGTTGGCACAGAAACAGACATATGGATTGGTGAGACAGAATAGAGAGCCCAGAAACAAACCCACACACGTATGGTCAGTTAATCTTTGACAGAGCAGGCAAGAATATACAGTGGAGAAAAGAGAGTCTCTTCAGCACGTGGTGCTGGGAAAGTTGGATAGCCACATGTAAATCAGTGAAGTTAGAACATACCTTCACACCATGCACAAAAATAGACTCAAAATGGCTTAAAGACTTAAATATAAGACATGACAGCATAAAACTCCTAGAAGAGAACACAGGCAAAACATCCTCTGACATAAATCGTACCGATGTTTTTCTTAGGTCAGTCTCCCAAGGCATTAGAAACAAAAGCAAAAATAAACAAATGGGACCTAATCAAACTTAAAAGCTTTTGCACAGCAAGGGAAACCATAAACAAAAAGAAAAGACAGCCTATGCACTGGGAGAAAATATTTGCCAACAGTGCGGCCGACAAAGGCTTAATTTCCAGAATATACAAACAGCTCATGCAATTCAATAGCAAAAGAAACAAACAACCCAATCAGAAAATGGCAGAAGACCTAAGTAGATATTTCTCCAAAGAAGACATGCAGATGGCCAACAGACACATGAAAAGATGCTCAACATTACTAATTATCAGAGAAATGCAAATCAAAAGTACAATGAGGTAACACCTCACAGAACTTCTGGTCAGAATGGCCATCATCAAAAAATCTACAAATAATAAATGCTGGAGAGGGTGTGGAGAAAAGGGAACCCTCTTGCACTGTTGGTGGGAATGTAAATTGGTGCAGCCCCTATGGAGAACAGTATGGAGGTTCCTTAAAAAATTAAAAAGAGTTACCATATGACCCAGCAATCCCACTCCTGGGCATGTATCTGGAAAAGACGAAAGCTCTAATTCAAAAAGGTACGTGCACCCCAGTGTTCATAGTGGCACTACTTACAATAGCCAAGGCATGGAAGCAACCTAAGGGTCTATCAACAGAGGAATGGATAAAGAAGATGTAGTACATATATACAATGGAATACTACTCAGGTACAGAAAAGAACAAAATAATGCCATTTGCAGCAACGTGGATGAACTTAGAGATTATCATGCTAAGTGAAGTAAGTCAGACAGAGAAAGACAAATATTATGATATCACTTATATGTAGAATCTAAAAAATATTACAAATGAACTTATTTACAAAATGGAAACAGACTCAGACATAGAAAACAAACTTATGGTTACCAAAGGGGAAAGTGGGGAGGGATAAATTGGGAGTATGGGATTAACAGATGCGCACTGCTATATATAGAATAGGTAAACAAGGATTTACTATATAGCACAGGGAACCGTATCCAATATCTTGTAATAAACTATAATCGACAAGCATTTTTAAGAAAGAATATAGATATGCACACATATGTGTATAACCGAATCACTCTGCTGTACATCTAAAACTAACACAATATTGTAAATCAACTATACCTCAATAAAATGAATAAAGTTTAGAATTAAAAAAAAAAGAGCAAGTAACAAAACAAATGCAAGAATAGAAAGTATTATAGAAGTGTAACAAGTAGTTAAAAGTAAAGAGTGTTACTTTTCTGGGGAAAAGAAAAGAACTTCCTCTGTCCTACTTCAAGTTCAAAGTAGAGGTAAGTTTTACTGCTAAGTATATTTTGAGGCATTATGTCAACAAACATGGCTTTTTGTTATAGCTTTTAAAGTTTGAAATAGAGACATAAATTTGGTAATTCACCTTGAGCCCAACGCACAAAACAAATTGCTATAAATTTGGTTAGAATTTGAATTTCTTTTTCTGACTTCGTGAATATCTAGCAACTAACTAGGAATATGTTTGATCAACTCTTAAATTCTACATTTTGTTAGAATCTGGGTTCTTTCTAGGCTGATCTTTTAATTTTTATATGACCTGTCCAAGGTCATTAATACATTGTTTTTAAATTAGTGTACAAGCAGAAAAATGTCTTCAGTATTTTTATATGTAAAACTGAAAATTTCTTTCACCGCAAGATTGCACTGAATATGTACACTGTGGCAGAAGTTGTTCTGGGTGCTGGAAACAGCAGAAATAGAACTGTCCCTCCTAGAGCTTGGGCTGGAGTGGAGGGTACAGATCAGTAGACGGACGATTACAGTTGGCGCTGCCAAGTGCAGGACAGATTGCTGTGGGAACACGTCGGAGCCCGCCTAGTTCAGGGATCAGGGAACGTTTCCCAGAGGAAGACTGGTAGCTTCAACTACGTGTTTCTGAACATTTTCAGCAGATGGCCTGTGCTATTCCCGGTGACTCCAGTGAAAGGGCGGAGGGCAGGGGGAGAGAAAAGAGGCATGTTCTCGGTCACAGTCTAGAGCTCCTTAAAAGATGTCTGCATGAGTGCTTTGGGAGTCGCTCGGAACAACGCTGGAACCTGAGGAAGGAAGGCAAGGGAACCGGGTAGCTTGAATCTACCTTACTTGACAGTGAGCCTGTAAACAGCTTCTCTGGCTGTAGTGGGACCGAGGAATAGGCTCAGCCTCCATGGTGTCTTGATCAAGTATCAATGTGCCTTTCAGTTTAAGAGTCTACCTGTTAGGAGTTGAGTTTTCCAAGGCTGAAGAGCTACTCACTTGGGTGGGGTTTACCTCGCTTTACACCCCCCCACCCAGATTATAATTACCACAAGGACCACATCTGTCTGAATTATTTCCTACTCTGCACCCAGGGCCCAGGACAGGGCCCAGAACAATAGACACCCAGTCAGTATCGGAATGAATAGGTGAGCGCATCTGGTCCCAAACAGAGAAGGATATTTGCTGGGGTAAATAGTAACGATCCTTTGTGAAGGGAGTCCAGTTGTATAGGCAGGCATCGATGTGTCAGGCCCAGTCTGGGGAGGGAGAGCTACAGTTTCTAATAATGACTGCAGCGCTGATGATAAATGCCACTTTCTACTGATTTAGTGAGTTCCTTAAATAAGAGGCATTAGATTTGGCAAGGGCAAAGAGCTAGTTCTTTGACATACTGAAACCATCTGTAGTAATTTAGTCAACATGAGTAGATATGGATACATTTTTAAGAGTAGGTTAAGCAAATCATCACCGTACATAAATAAGAAATGCTTACTACTTTTTCAGGCTTTCAAGTGTCATTTGAAGACCTTTGAGTTCAGATCATATACATCTGTCTCATCACGTATTTTACAAAATTCTCTAAAAGAAGGAACGAATGTTTCCTTGTATTGATTGGCACATGTACTTGAAATCTCAGCTCACCTTCCGACCTTGTTAACCGAGAAGTGTTTGTGAATAATTGATTTAAGACTTCTGATATGCTGAATTGGTCTTTTTCCCCCCTAAATTTAATTTTGTAGCATTCTTGGTCACTCACGCTTACATATTTGGCCCTTTTCCTAGGTAAGTGGAGGTATACTTCGAATTTTCCCGGAAGGCAAGGCCCAGTTTGCCGACATTGAACCCAGGTTTGATAGACTGCTGTTTTTCTGGTCCGACCGTCGCAACCCTCATGAAGTGCAGCCAGCATACGCTACAAGGTAGTAATCCTCCCCTTCAGGAAGAAGTGGTCAAGAGCGTGTAGGGTAGGAGGGGTGGCCGGGGTGAACATGGACATTTTCTAACGCGTGTTTTCCTGCTCTTCACCTGCCTTTATCAGAGGGCCTAGGTCGTAACTGTTTAATTTGAATAATTCTATAAGATTGATTCACAGTTGGTACCAAATGCTTGTGCGTCTCTTTGCACAGCCACTCCGTGTCTGGGGTCAGTCAGGGAAGCACGGGGCTCCCGTCTTCCCTTAACTACGATCCGTTCTCGGATCTGGTGAGAGTATTCACTTGGGGCATAAAGATTAGATAGAGAAGGGAAAGGGCAACTTTGTTAAAGGTGGTCCGGCAGGGGTGGGGGGCAGAGGGATGACGTAGAAAAATGATACAGAAGAGAAAAACACATAACCAGAGAGCAGAAATACAGAGGAAGAGTAGAGCAAAGACAAGTGGAGAAGAGGTATTTGGGAGTTAATGTTAGAAAAATCACCCTTCAGCTTTAACAGTAAGCGTCTGTTAGGCTTGTTACATGCTCCTCTGCGTTATTTTCTACGTGACACTCTCTTCCTACAAAGTTTAGTTTTCTAAACCTATTATGTTTAATGTATTCTTAAAAACATTTCTTTTACCATTTACCATGACCCAATTAAAATGTTTAGACTATTAAAATGGAAGATGTTACAGACATTGTTATCCAAGTGAATATTTGGGGGGGAAAAGTGCTACTTTTTAAATACCTGTTTTTCACTATAGAAGGGACTTTGAACACGACGGTAGTGAATCACTCGCATGCATTTGCCTAGGCCCCTTACATACACAGGGAGAAGAGCTGCCTCTTGATAGTGATGTCAGAGACGGGCCAGCATTTGATGAGGTTCAGGCTCTGAAGACTTTGTCACCTGTCCCTCCTTCTGGCTCCTCTCCGAGCCGTGTTGCCTCAGCCCTAATTCATCATAGTGAGTGCCGGCTGAGCGGTGTGGCTAGCGGCCAAAAGAACCCCTGGGTGGAGGCCGGGGGTCCCGTCACATCACACGGCGCGCCGTCCTGAATCCCCGTCTCGCCTCCCGTCCCCCCGGTGCCCATCTCTGCCCTAGAGACCGCTTCACAGACCTTCCTTTTTATGGAATCTCGAATACGGTGTGGTTGTAGCCTTTCTAGATGAAGACAGAAACGACATTTTAGGTGGTAAATAGATGCCAGACGATTAGGGAGTGCTCCAGGGGTTTGGAGGAGGGAGACAGGACTGTTGAATTGGAATCGATGGGTCCAGTGTCGCCACTGGGCCTGGAGTGCGGGGAGCGGGGAGTAGGGCAGCGTTGGCCTCTGCCGGGAGGGGGCTGTGGAAGTCCCAGCAGAAGGGGACGTGGGGAGGAGGGGCCTCTAAACAGATGGCTGGAGGGAGAGGCAGGGGAAGCAGAGCCGCCTGCTGCTCTACAGCTGTCTTCTGGGAAGGCCTTGGGGCACGTGTTAGAACTCTGATGACTAAGTAACTGAAAGTTTAGGGCAGGTGCGAAAGACATACGAAAGTGTTTGTCTGTGCACCTTCCCTATTGCCACGGCCGCCTGACAGGACAGAAGAGGCTGCGTGGTAGGAGAGGGGCTGGAGCTCTGGAAGCCGGGAGGCCAGACCTCGAGCTCAGCTCTGTCCCTTTGCAGCTGAGTGGCCTGGGGCTTCGGCCTCCCCCGCTGCCCAGACTCCCAGACTCCGACTCTACTCTGCCTTTGACTCGTTGCTTCCGATGTGTTACAGGATTTAACGTTTGCTGGCTCTTCATTTGATCAGTCAGTGTTGCTTTCCCCCCAGCGAACACTGGCCAGAAGCCGCAGGACACTCTGACCGATTGCTGCGTTCTACTCAGGCGCTGGTCATTTGTAGCGTGCTTTCACTTCCTGTGGTGTGTGCACATTTCCCACGTTATTCCCACCAAAAGCTGTAACTAAGTGCCTTGTGGTATTTAATAAAACAGAGATTCTTCAGTATTTGTGAAATGAGATATTCCAAGTGAGTGATGAAATTTTCAGAAAAATGAAACAAAACATAGTATAATTGCTTTGATAAAAATCCTAAAAAATTCTTAGCATAATTTAACTTCCTTGATGACTCCAGGTTGTAAAATTGTAAACCCCCATCACGATACCTTGCCGGTATGTGTGTAGTGATGTCCTCAGAAGTGGTGGAGACCGTTAGCCCTCCCTTGCTCTACAGGGCCCCTGGCCTTGAGTCCTTCTCTGTTTCTCTGCTTTTCTTTTAGAACTTGTGCTATTGATAGTGTGCTTTTTCTGTAGCAGCCACTCTTACCTTCTTATTGTCTGTTTCTGATCTGCTGTGGGCTTGCAAAACAGATAATCAAGTAGGTTAAGTAGGTGTTAAGAAAGCCATAAAAACTCATCAACTCTGCAACGTAAATTTTAGCTACTCCTGGCTCTCTGCCATACTCCTGAGCTTTGGGGCTACTGATTAAGTGAGTGGGTTGTTGCTCCGCTCCCTTATCATCTGATGTCACCCCAAGTTAGGCATTATTTTGGCGTTACAAGTTTTAGTAGACCTTTGCAACAGAATACGCTTTGTTTTCCCCAGTGTGATCATTCTTACCCTATTCTGAATTTTCTTTTAGGTACGCAATAACTGTTTGGTATTTTGATGCAGATGAGAGAGCACGAGCTAAAGTAAAATATCTAACAGGTAAACATTTGGGGCCAGGGTACACTGGAAGGAAGAGACCCCGCAGCCAGGCAGTGCTTTCCATGAGCCAGAAGACTCGCTCCTTGTTTCCGTCAGATTCTTTTTTTTTTTTTTTGCGGTATGTGGGCCTCTCGCTGTTGTGGCCTCTCTCGTTGCGGAGCACAGGCTCCGGACGCGCAGGCTCAGCGGGCATGGCTCACGGGGCCAGCCGCTCCGCGGCATGTGGGATCCTCCCGGACCGGGGCACGAACCCGTGTCCCCTGCATCGGCAGGCGGACTCTCAACCACTGCGCCACCAGGGAAGCCCTCCGTCAGATTCTTAATTCCCCTGCTTAAGAGGGCAGCTCTTAAGTCATCTTCATTGTTATCTTGAACCGTCACAATTGCCCAAAGATGAGGAAAGTTTGAGACAAGTCTGGGAAAATCATTTGAGTACAAGCTGAGTTTTTCTGTGATGATCCTTTTCAGTCACAGGCTGGCTTCCTCTCATTCTCCCCGCAGAGGAAAGGTAATAATATCCTTTCCTTGTTAGATGTACATGCTCTGAAGAGTAGTCCAGGTCTTCCATGTAAAATGTGGACATGAAGAAAATTAATACAAAGGAGATGAATTGACATGCTGAAATCAGTAAAGCAGACAGGCATGTGGAGTCCACGTCTGCCAGTGGCGTCCATAGGTCACCCCCAGTTACGGGTTATCTCCTGGAGCGGTTGGGTCTGAGGTTTCCGTCAGATGGACCACTGACCTGTCTTGTCTTTAACCCTACCTTGTATCTCCACAAACCTGCTCAAGTTCGTTCATATTACTGATTTAACTAGCTGTATTTTCATGAGCCCATTGATAATCCCACATCAGCCTTTTATAAAAGCCTTTTATAAAAATTGAATGTTCACGCATTTTCTGTGTATTTTTAAAGTCATTATTTGTGACAGTAGCCTAGTAGTGCACTTTCAGTGATGCCGAACACACTCTGCTCTTACAGCAGTTTGATTTGCTTTTCATATAAAAGGAGACAAAAATCATTATCTCTGTGTAGAGAAAGATTTTTCCCTTTGAGGGTTTACTAGTTCAGCGTCTGTGCATGCCTTGTCCAGTCCTGAGGGTAACTTTTGGAAGTGCAAGCGTAATCATTTCAGATGACGTGTGTTTGCAAAGCTGAAACGCTGTGCACACTGTTGGGAACTTAGTGGGAAGCCGTACTCTGGTGCTTACTGAATGAATGAATTTTTTTTTTTTTTTTTTTTTTTTTTTTTACCTTGCAGGTGAAAAAGGTGTGAGGGTTGAACTCAATAAACCTTCTGATTCAGTCAGTAAAGACGTCTTATAGAGCCTTTGATCCAGCAATACCCCACTTCATCTACAGTAATTATTGACGCTGTTTGTTAACTTGTGAATACGAATAAATGGGACAAAGAAAATAGACCACCAGTTGGCAATTTAAGGAAACAAACAACTTTTTTGTGTTGCATCAAAACGAAGATTTTGACTGTGTGGCTTTGTACTGCATGATTGACTCCAAACCTGTGATGGGAAGAATATAAGTTATCAGCTGAAAGTGGTATTTACATCTGGACATGAAATAAGTGCCCTAGGTAGAATTTTTTCATTCTTATATTTTGCCAGATCTGTCATCTAGCTGACTTCATTTCATCTCTCCCTTTTTTATATAGTCAAGTTTGAATTTGAAGTAATTTTTATATGATCAGGTACAATTTATCAAAACTGAATTGAGGAAAAAATTACAGTATTATTCCCCAAAATAGCATCAATCTATTTTTGTAAACCTCTTCGTACTATTAAATTTTGCCCTAAGAGGCCTCTTATAATGATTGTCGCCAGTGACTAATAATTAATTTTCTTTTTACTTAAAATAAGAAAAGGAGCACTTTAATCACCAACTGAAAAATCAGATTATTTTGTAGTCCTGTGTCTTACACTAATTTGAACTCTTAAAAATTGCTGCTGTTGTTTTCCTGACATTGTTAATAGTGAAACAGAACAGTAAGACCATCACCGTTTACTACCAATAACTTTTAGTTCATGTTTTATAAGAAAAAATACACAGTAAAATGGTTTTATCTTTTAAGTTACATTTTTAAAAAACTAAAGTGACTGGCACTAAATGAACTTGAGGTTATCCTCAGCATCAAGTCCCCAAGATAAAGGGCTTTCTTATGCTTTCAGGTATATATATATCCTATAGATGTAGAAGATACTGTCCCCTTCCCTAAGCCTTTTCCTTTTGCTTCCCGTCAAGTTGATTGTACTTTCAATTTTGCTGTTAACGTTTTCTTCCTACTCCTGTGCCCATCTGGTCAGCAGATCAGCACCTCGTTCTTGTCGGGTAGCGTCAAGGGGAGACTGTGCGCATCCAGACTGAACGGTGTTGGTAGAGACTTAACGTCAGTGACGCCTCAGACCACTGCTGACACGCTCCCCAGACACGACGC